GTACCTCAATTCGCTGGAGATAGAATAAGCCATGAGAACTACTGAATTTTTGAAAAAACTGAATTCATTCACGTATTTTATTCACGAAAAGGAATTCTTGGTCATCATTCCAGCGATTCTTCAGCCATTCTTTATTTCAAATTCCAACGCGAATATCTCAGGAACCAAGTGAGATAAAAGGAAACAGAACTCAGATTCTTGTTAAGCACATCGAGAACATCTTATATACAAGTTTTCAGCCCATTCTGAAGCCTCGAACTATTTGAAAAATGTTCAAAGGGGTTAACCTTCTTTCATTTTCAGACCAAAAAATTAACTTTGTCGTTGGGCCTTCAAACTTGGTATACAGGGTCCTCAATGGATGCCCTAGTGCGGAGTAGAAGCACAGCGCTCTAGAATTCCTAATAAGAAAGTAGCAATTTTTGACCTGCTTTCCTATCTTGCGGTACCTTTGATATCAAATTGTTCGATCTAGTACCTCAATTCGCTGGAGATAAAATAAGCCATGAAAACTACTGAATTTTCGACAAAACAGAATTCATTCACGTATTTTAGCCACGAAAAGGAATTCTTGGTCATCATTCCAGCGATTCTTCAGCCATTTTTTTTTTCAACTTTCAACACGAATATCTCAGGAACCAAGTGAGATAAATGGAAACAGACTTCAGATTCTCGTTCAGCACATCGAGAACATCCTATATACAAGTTTTCAGCCCATTCTGAAGCCACGAACTATTTGAAAAATGTTCAAAGGGGTTAACCTTCTTTCATTTTCAGATTAAAAAATGAACTTTGTCGTTGGGCCTTCAAACTTGGTATACAGGATCCTCAATGGATGCCCTAGTGCGGAGTAGAAGCATAGCTCGCTAACTTTCATAATAAAAAATAAGTAGCAATTTTACACCTGCTTTTCTGTCGTTGCGGTACCTTTGATATCAAATGGCTCGATCTAGTACCTCCATTGACTGGAGATCGAGAAATTCCTCGCCATCATTTCAGCGATCTATTTTCAATTTTCGATCGCAAATATCTCGATAACCAAGTGAGATACAGACAAATGGACTTCAGATTCTTGTTTAGCACATCAAGAACACCCTGTATGTAAGTTTACAGCCCATTCTGACGCCTCGAGTTTGGTGAAAAAAGTTCAAAGGGGTTAACCTTGTTTATTTTTCAGACCAAAAAATCAACTTTGTCGTAGGGCCTTCAAATTTGGTATACAGGGTCCTAGTGGAATGCCCTAGTGCGGAGTAGAAGCATAGTTCTCTAAAGTTCATAATAAAAAAGTTGCAATTTTTCACCTGCTTTTCTGTCGTTGCGGTACCTTTGATATCAAATTGCTCGATCTAGTACCTCCATTGACTGGAGATCGAGAAATTCCTTGCCATCATTTCAGCGATCTATCAGACTTTTTTTTTCAAATTTCAACGCAAATATCTCAGGAACCAAGTGAGATAAATGGAAACAGACTTCAGATTCTTGTTTAGCACATCGAGAACATCCTATATACAAGTTTTCAGCCCATTCTGAAGCCTCGAACTATTTGAAAAATGTTCAAAGGGGTTAACCTTCTTTCATTTTCAGACCAAAAAATGAACTTTGTCGTAGGGCCTTCAAACTTCGTATACAGGGTCCTCAATGAATGCCCTAGTGCGGAGTAGAAGCACAGGGCTCTAGAATTCCTAATGAGAAACTAGCAATTTTTGACCTGCTTTTCTTTTCTTGCGGTACCTTTGATATAAAATTGTTCGATCTAGTACCTCAATTCGCTGGAGATAGAATGAGCCATGAGAACTACTGAATTTTCGACAAAACTGAATTCATTCACGTATTTTATTCACGAAAAGGAATTCTTGGTCATCATTCCAGCGATTCTTCAGCCATTTTTTTTTCAACTTCCAACGCGAATATCTCAGGAACCAAGTGAGATAAATGGAAACAGACTTCAGATTCTTGTTGAGCACATCGAGAACATCTTATATACAAGTTTTCAGCCCATTCTGACGCCTCGAATTATTTGAAAAATGTTCAAAGGGGTTAACCTTGTTTCTTTTTCAAACCAAAAAATGAAGTTTGTCGTAGGGCCTTCAAACTTGGTATACAGGGTCCTCAATGGATGCCTTAGTGCGGAGTAGAAGCACAGCGCTCTAGCTTTCCAAATAAGGAAGAAGCAATTTTTGACCCGCTTTCTGGCCTTGCGGAACCTTCGATATAAAATGGCTCGATCTAGTACCTCAATTCGCTGGAAATAGAATGAGCCATGAGAACTACTGAATTTTTGACAAAACTGAATTCATTCACGTATTTATTTCTAGCTGTCAAAAGGAATTCTTGGTCATCATTCCAGCGATTCTTCAGCCATTTTTTTTTTCAACTTCCAACGCGAATATCTCAGGAACCAAGTGAGATAAATGGAAACAGACTTCAGATTCTTGTTGAGCACATCGAGAACATCCTATATACAAGTTTTCAGCCCATTCTGAAGCCTCGAACTATTTGAAAAATGTTCAAAGGGGTTAACCTTCTTTCATTTTCAGACCAAAAAATGAACTTTGTCGTAGGGCCTTCAAACTTGGTATACAGGGTCCTCAATGGATGCCCTATGAGAAACCGAATGAGAAAAATAGAAACAGACTTCAGATTCTTGTTGAGCACATCGAGGACATCCTATATACAAGTTTTCAGCCCAATCTGACGCCTCGAATTATTTGAAAATTGTTCAAAGGGGTTAACCTTCTTTCATTTTCAGACCAAAAAATGAACTTTGTCGTAGGGCCTTCAAACTTGGTATACAGGGTCCTCAATGGATGCCTTAGTGCGGAGTAGAAGCACAGCGCTCTAGATTTCCTAATAAGAAAGTTGCAATTTTTGACCTGCTTTTCTTTTCTTGCGGTACCTTTGATATAAAATTGTTCGATCTAGTACCTCAATTCGCTGGAGATAGAATAAGTCATGAGAACTACTGAATTTTTGACAAAACTGAATTCATTCACGTATTTTAGCTACGAAAAGGAATTCTTGGTCATCATTCCAGCGATGCTTCAGCCATTTTTTTTTTCAAATTTCAACGCGAATATCTCAGGAACCAAGTGAGATAAATGGAAACAGACTTCAGATTCTCGTTCAGCTCATCGAGAACATCCTATATACAAGTTTTCAGCCCATTCTGAAGCCTAGAACTATTTGAAAAATGTTCAAAGGGTAACCTTCTCTCATTCTCAGATTAAAAAATGAACTTTGTCGTTGGGCCTTCAAACTCGGTATACAGGGTCCTCAATGGATGCCCTAGTGCGGAGTAGAAGCATAGCTCGCTAACTTTCATAATAAAAAAGTAGCAATTTTACACCTGCTTTTCTGTCGTTGCGGTACCTTTGATATCAAATGGCTCGATCTAGTACCTCCATTGACTGGAGATCGAGAAATTCCTCGCCATCATTTCAGCGATCTATTTTCAATTTTCGATCGCAAATATCTCGAAAACCAAGTGAGATAGAAACAAACGGACTTCAGATTCTTGTTCAGGACATCGAGAACACCCTGTATATCAGTTTTCAGCCCATTCTGACGCCTTGAGTATGGTGAAAAAAGTTCAAAGGGGTTAACCTTGTTTATTTTTCAGACCAAAAAATCAACTTTGTCGTAGGGCCTTCAAACTTGGTATACAGGGTCCTCAATGGATGCCTTAGTGCGGAGTAGAAGCATAGTTCTCTAACGTTCATAATAAAAAAGTAGCAATTTTTCACCTGCTTTTCTGTCGTTGCGGTACCTTTGATATCAAATGGCTCGATCTAGTACCTCTATCGACTATGGAGATCGAGAAAGTTCTTGCCATCATTTCAGCGATCTATCAGACTTTTTTTTTTCAAATTTCAACGCAAATATCTCAGGAACCAAGTGAGATAAATGGAAACAGACTTCAGATTCTTTTGTTTAGCATATCGAGAACATCCTATATACAAGTTTTCAGCCCATTCTGAAACCTCGAACTATTTGAAAAATGTTCAAAGGGGTTAACCTTCTTTCATTTTCAGACCAAAAAATTAACTTTGTCGTAGGGCCTCCAAACTTGGTATACAGGGTCCTCAATGGATGCCTTAGTGCGGAGTAGAAGCATAGTTCTCTAACGTTCATAATAAAAAAGTAGCAATTTTTCACCTGCTTTTCTGTCGTTGCGGTACCTTTGATATCAAATGGCTCGATCTAGTACCTCTATTGACTGGAGATCGAGAAACTTCTTGCCATCATTTCAGCGATCTATCAGACTTTTTTTTTTCAAATTTCAACGCAAATATCTCAGGAACCAAGTGAGATAAATGGAAACAGACTTCAGATTCTTGTTTAGCATATCGAGAACATCCTATATACAAGTTTTCAGCCCATTCTGAAACCTCGAACTATTTGAAAAATGTTCAAAGGGGTTAACCTTCTTTCATTTTCAGACCAAAAAATTAACTTTGTCGTAGGGCCTCCAAACTTGGTATACAGGGTCCTTAATGGATGCCCAAGTGCGGAGTAGAAGCACAGCACTCTAGCTTTCCTAATAAGAAAGTAGCAATTTTTGACCTGCTTTTCTTTTCTTGCGGTACCTTTGATATAAAATGGCTCGATCTAGTACTGGACTGGAATCGATGTCATGATAACTGAAGTTGTGGCGGAACTGAATCATTCTGCCCACAAAATGTTTGTTGTCATCTTTCATACATTTTATTCAATTTTTGATCGCACGTATCTCGGAAACAAATAGAGATAAAAACGAACGGATTTCAGATTCTTGCTCAGCACGTGGAAAACACACCCTGTTCACTAGTTTTTCAGCACATTCTGACGACCAGGTCAGAATAAAAAGAAAACTGCTACCTTTCATAAAAACAGGATTTGGTATTGCGGTGCCTTCAATATGACAAGTAATAAGAATCTAGGACAGTACTTGATCGCATCATGTCTTATTGTAGGTACCGCAGATATTACATCATCCGAGTCAGGACAGATAATAACGACTCACAGTTTCATAAACTCATCATTTATTGTTTTCAATCATAGTACAAAAAATAAAAGCAACAATAGAAAATAAAGCAACATATTCACAATAATAATACAAAAGAAAACGTGCAGATAAGACACAGTTCAGTTGAATTTGCATTTGGAAAAATCCATTTCTGGGTGCTGCTCCATAAATCTGGAAACAAAATGAATCAATTTATACAGGGAAGAAATTTTCAAGACATACTAGTTTATACAGAGTGGTCCAACGAAAACGGAAAAGACTGAATAACATCCTGGAGAATGTGCATTCGAAAAAAACGCTGGGGAAGGGGTGCTCTTTTTTATCCGTACCTCAACTGCCGTATGTCATTTCCCTCCCCACCACTTGGCTAATCAATAGTATTTGAATAGGGAAGGTACCATGTATGTCACATTATCGAATAGGTATCAATATGAGAGAGGTTCATAGCAATCCTAGGGCCTTCTCACGGAATGAAAAACTGTTATGTAGCCGAATGATTGCACTTTTTTTGAAAGCTGATTTCATCATCAATTCAATCCACCTATAACATTACCTAATAATATCAAAAATGAACTTGAATTATTTCAAAATCTTGTCGGACTACAGCGTTAACAAGGAAAAATCTTATTTCCAGTGAATTCTCCGCTCTCAGCACAATTGAACCCAATCTCACCCATGCATTATTCTCAACTGGAATAACCTGCCTAACCCAACGTTGTTTGACGATTCTGTTACGGTCTCATGGCGTTTTTGTGACGTTTTTGATGCTTTGACGAACCCATGACGCTTCTGTGACGTTTTTGTGACGTTTTTAATGCTTTGAAGATCTCGTGACGTTTCCGTGATGTTTCTGATGCTTTGACAAATCCATAACGTTTCTGTGACGTTTTTGATGCTTTGTCAATCCCGTACCATTTCCGTAACGTTTTTGCGACTCTTTTGATGCTTTGACAAACCCATGACGTTTCTGTAACGTTTTTCGAGTTTTTTGTGAGGTTTTTGTAATGTTTCTGTTTAGCCCCGCCACTCGTTAAAGACGGAGAAAATTAAACGAAAATGGTCACAAGAACGTCACAGAAACGTCACGAAACTGTCAAAGAATCAGAATCGTCACAAAATCGCTACAAAAACGTAATTGAATCTTCAAACTACGTTGAGTTAGGGGTGCTGAGAGTCGCATCGGTGCACTTCAGCTTTCATATAAAGTGTCAAACATAAGGCTAAATAACATTTTGTCTTCCCGCAAGAGGGTGCTAAAAGAAACCTCGCTTTTTCCATCAAGTGTCATACATGGAACCTTTCCAATTCGAATTCTATTGTTCATCGAGATGAGGATCGGATAAAAATATTTCTTCTATTTATCAAAAATCGATCTACTCCAGGTTTTTATCGGGTAAACACTCTCCCGGGAATTGTTCAGTTTGTTTAGCTTTAGCTCCGAATTTGAATCGTATCATTCTTAATCTCTGATAGAAGTCCATGTTTGCTCAAAGTAGAGTGGAATTATTCAAAAGGAAGAAGGAAAGCTCAAACTCATCTCCACTACTTTATTAATGATGTAGTCAATCAAAGGGACATGTTTCGAACTTGTGGAAGTCCATCTCCAGCCGTATTTTAGAAGTTAATGGAGGTGAACATTATATGTCCCTTTGATTGACTACATCATTAATAAAGTAGTGGAGATGACCTTGAGCTTCCCTTCTTCCTTTTGTATCATTCTTGGCGATTCTTGTGTATTTCAAATGAAAAAAAACAGCTGTACTCACTTTTTGATAACATCCTGTTTCTTCTGATCGTCGCTAGTGGGCAGTCCCAGTTCTTTTTGTCGCTGATCGTACATCATCTTCTCCACCAATCCTCTGGTCTCCCCGTCTAGATCGCTCAGCTTCGACGGTTCCGGATTGATCTTCTTCGTGCTGATCTCTGGATCAGAATTCACCAATTTGCTCCACCAATTCATTTTGTTCACCTGAAACAACACAATCATAATGGAAGTGAAATCGGGCAATTCCTTGTGAAAAAACAATCAAATTTTAACGACTTCAGCACCAAGAATAGTCTTCATGAGTTCGCGATCTACAGGGTGTCCCAGAATAACGTTCGTATTCACCGGGAGGTAATTATGAGAAAAAAAAATAGGCCCTTGAATGCACCTTTCTTCGAATAAATGTCTATTCTATCCATTCTATTCATGACATTTGGTATCTAAGGGTGATTCGAACTTAAAAATCGTTTCCTGGTTCAGAAAAAATTATTTGATATACAGGGAGGTGCAAAACTCGTAACCGATGCTATGAAAATGCCCTGTAGTATATCGTACTTACTTTTTCTAAATTGATGAGAAGCGATTTTCCATCTTCGATGACCCACGTGGATTCTTCTAGTTTGATTTCGTGAGGAAAATCATCGTCTATTATCGGTGGCTGACCTTTGATTCCGCAAGTGAGGCGTTTTTTCGTTAGATTCACTACCAGATCCTTTTGTTTAGCTCTGAAGCTAACGTTGAGGGGCACCCTGAGCTGAAAAACAAGAAACAGGAATTATTTACAAAGCAATTCACGAGGATCAATAGAGGAATTTTCATCAGGAGTTCACGCTTGTACGTTTGACCTGATTTTTTGCAGCCAATGAAAACTTTTCATAGATACTAAATTTTCAATCCCAATTGAATCAACCGATGAATATGTACAGTGCTTTCCACGTTTGAGTTATGACGACGGGGTCATTTTTTTTAAATGGGACACCCTATATATTATCCATATTTTGGAATCTCCATGGGACGCTGAATTCAAAGTTGTATTACACTTGTATAGAGTGTGTCCGCTAAATCGAGTGCTCTTGTGAAAATTCATTTTAATCCATGCAATCAATTTCTGAGAAATCTCCTGAAACAGATCGATTTTTATTTTCAATTAGCCTTTCACGAAGAGGTATTGAAAAAATCAATAATATTAGGATGTTTCATTCGAAAAAATTGTCGCGGACGTCATACGTCAAACGTACATTAACTTGTATATCTAATTCATCCTTATAAATGTAGCAAATTGAAGTTAATTCGATCTGTTCCAGGAAGGTTCCTCAGAAATAGATAGTTTGGCTAAAATATAATTCATTCAGTACCCAGCTTTTCATATATTTCATGGGGTGTTCCATTTGAAAAAATTGTCGCGGATCACCCTGTATATTCAATTTTTCTTTAAAAATATCGCAAATTCAATATGGAAATCGACCTGTTCCAGGAGATTTCTCATAAATGGATAGTTTGCCTAAAAATGAATTCATTCAGTACTTTACGGAAGCACTGTATAGTATATTCTCAATCGATTTAAGTCCACCCTGTATCAGGAAATGACGTGAGGAATTTTAGGATTATTTAATTATTTGTTGTTTACTGGATGAGAATCAGAAATTGTAAAAAATGGCGAAAGCGCCTCTATTATTTCAGTATATTTACAATAATGGTGGGTGCGCAGCTATTCATTTCCAATAATGGTGAATGCGCAATTTTGTAGAGGGATATTAGAATTTATGGTGAAGGGAATAAAATTAGCGTATTTTTGAAGCAAACTGGGTTTAGCCAATCGAATATAAAGTGTCGCCGTTGATTCTACATCATCATTGTTGTTTCTTCAAGAATCATGAAAATAACGATGTTTCTTTGATAAATAGGTATTAAACCAACTAGTGTATTAATCGACATGAACGAAAAATTTTCCGTCGACTATATTTTTTTTCCTGCATTGAAGAAAATGATATTTGGCGAAATCATCAACATAAAATAGTATATTGTTTAACGAGCACAGAATGATATTCATTTCCCAGAAAATGAGGTGCAATTCGTACGAGTGGAAAAGGATTTCGTGCGAGTTATACACTATACTTTTTCTACGGCTGCAACAGCTAATAGCAAAATTTGTTAGTTCCTCGGGTTGTAGCCATCTAATTTCCTCTTGAAGTTTTACATGTAGTCAAACTTTTGAAAATGTTATATCTGAAAATTCAAACGACCATGTCAATTTCCTGGGAGTTGTATTTGATACGAAGTTGCAATGGTCGGAACACATAAATATATTGTGTGGAAAACTTTCAAGAACAGTGTACGCTATCAGGAAAATTTGTTATTCACTGGGCGAATCAGCTGCACGCACAACATATTTTGCACTCTTCCACTCTGTATTAACATATGGAGCCCTAATATGGGGCAATGCATCAAATTGCTATTTACAAAGAATTTTAATCATTCAAAAAGCTGCATTACGCAGTATAAAAAAAGTTAATTGGGAAGTCAGCTGCAGACCTATATTTGAGGAACTAAAGATCATGACCATATTTTCGACCATTCTGTACCATAACCTATTGCATGTAAAAAAAAACATGAGCAACTATCAATCACAATCCGATTTCCACAGACATGACACAAGGAACAAATCTATGCTATTGCAACCATACACTAGATTACGTAGGCATACAAACAGAGGTGTTGAATGGTACAATGCATTACCAACCGAATTTCGTGATCTATCATTTTCCAAATTTTCAATAAGACTGAAAATCATTCTGGCAGAGAACTGCATATACTCATTTGACGAATATTGCAAGTTATTCAAAAACAGAGACATCTTGACAAAAACTAGGTAAACCCATGTACAATATGATATTTTATATTTTCATTTTATTTTTACATACCTACTTATACTTGGACTATTGTCCTATTTTACTTTGACTATTGTCATATTTTTACTTTGGCTAATGTCCTTTTTTAATTTGACCATTGTCCTATTTTTACTTTGACGTGTTTCATAATATTGTAATATTTCTGAACTAAATAAATTCAATTCAATTCAATTCAATTCAATTGTGTTATCAGATAAGGGAATGGAACTGAAGACATGCACCCCATTGATTTTATGAAGACTGTGAAAAAGTTGTTTATTGGTTTTTAATTTTCAATCCACTACAAATTTGAATGAATTTAAAAAATTTCAAGTTTTCTTGACATAACAATTTGGCAATTCATTCGAATTTTGAAGAACTCAAAAATAACATTATCTACGACAGTTTTGTTTGAAAATGTTTCTCATTGGACTTTTACCACAAAATGCAAGTATGCTAAGGAAAATAAGGAATTGAATATAATGGAAATTGAATTGACAGTTTTTCACGTATGAAATTGTAACAAATATCAGCTAGTACCTTTCGCACAACAAAGCTGATTTTGCATCAAATATGAGAATCATTTTCAGTATATCTGTAATTTACCCATATATGATGCATGCTTTAATGATTGAAAGAATTGTTAGATGTGGAAGAAATAATTTAGAAGGCCACATACAATTACTGCAAATTTGTTTATATCGTAATCCACGGAAGTAATAATCAACTTCTCATCTAACCCTAGTAAAAGCAATTTTCAATCAAAATCATTATTTCTCACAGGCAATGGTACAACAGGCCTACTACTGTAATTGAATTTTACCGAGAACTGTGACATGCCGTTTTTCCACGAACGATCTCACGAGCACCATCACGAGTACTAGGTACTGCTCAGAAAAAAATCCGAAGCCGTAATTACCATCACGAAAATAAACAGATGCACGTTGTCAAGGACGATTCGGCGATTTAAATTTAAACCAAATCGAAGGTTAATGGAACTCTTTATCTACACGCTGAAAAGTGTTTCGTAACATCTGAAATTATCGTCAAATTACAGGATACTTTGTCTAGGATTCACGAGTGCCTAGAGAACTGCCTCGGGTACGTCACGAAAACAACTCGTTGATAGGCTGCCACTTACATGAATTTGCAAGTGAAGGAAACAATTATTATAAGCCAGAAACATGTCCCCCCTATAGGTCGCGTGCACGATGACCGACCCTGTAAAACATTGAAACTTGAGACACAACCTCACTTTTTTTATTTGTTTACAGAGGAATCGAAGGATTGAAATAGTTTTTCACAATATTTTGGCATTCGAATCGTGTTTTTTGCGCTATTCATTAATTCAAGCATGCCTTCTCATTGTGCACAATGCACAAAAAATGCAGCGAGAGACGAAGGAATATGATTTTTTAGGTGAAAAGTAATCTCACATAATTTTCATTATGAAATTGTGTCATTTCTTATTGAAATTCCTTCTGCCACTTCTGCAATAGAAGCTAATACTGCTAATAGATTGAAAATGTCTACAACACTCACGTTAATATTTCGTCAGTATGTCAGACCAGTCCTCCCGTTTGATTGCATGAATCCATTCTTCTTGCATTCTTTTAGAAATTCCACGAGTATTTCTATTAGATCCTATTGAAGAAGGAATTCCGATGGAAAATTAGAGAAATTACCAAATTTCAAAATGAAAACCATATGTGAGTGTCTATAGTAGGAACTTACTTTTAAATCATAATATACCAGCCAGATTCCTTCGTCTTTCTGCATTAAACAACAGCACAATGTAATGACATGCGCGAATTAATGAATAGCCGAAAAACACGATTCGTATGCCAAAATAATTGTGAAAAACTATCTCAAGTCGAAATGACCAAAGTATTTCGCACTCGAGTTGCAAACATATTTTTTTCTACCAACGTCAAAAATATAGTTCTTAAGTAAACATATGCTTAGCTTGATATAAAAAATAGTATTGAACTGGCTTGAAAGGCCGCCCCCTATACTCCCTAGATACGCACGATGTTCCACGAACATAATAGGAATTTTCTTTCGTGCGCTCCAAGAGATAAAACAAAGTTATTGTTGAACATTCAGAAATAAATGATTTCGTGGATGTTCGCTCGATTGAGGACCATAAAGTTGAAATATAAATATCTCAAATATTGTACATAACGATGCGCGAAGTAGGTACTTTGTGCACTGTTTTACTTCGCGCATTGTTTTGTCTAAGGTATCATGGTAACGTAGGAATCTGAAAAAAGTGGCACTTCGCAATTTGTTATCAATGCCCGAACCTTGTCATTTTCTGACGTTTGTTGAAAAATTACATTACGAGTTGAATTCGTATGATTAATTCATGATTGATAATGAATGATAATATAGAAATCTGTACTTCCAGAATTGAATAAAATTTATACCTGACGTTCTGAATGTCAAAAATGTTACCGGTGCAAAAAGAGGTTGGTCGGTCACGGGTATGGGTCAATTCGGCTTCTGTATTGATGGTAGATTTTTAGGAAACTGATTGGTTCTAGAGAACAAGAATTGAATTGAAAATTGAATAGAACAAAACATGCAAATAATTACACTGAGATATCAAGCTACTCAAGTACACTTTTGAATATTTTTCTAGATACCTATTTTCCAATTACCGCTGCATCATTAATTATATCGTGATAAGCAATAAAGATACAAAAAAATGTTACTCTTTCGTCCGGATAAGGTAGGTATACTGCACTATCAGTACTTCCTCGAGCAACCTTGTACAAACTAAATTAGAGAAAATTAATTACCGCAGAGGTCGGGATTATATTTTAATTGCTGGCGAGTTCCATATCGAAAGGCGTTTAATCAT